ACTAGCAGTATTTCAGCACACTGGAGCTCATGGTGCTTGCTTCAAGGAGGGCATGCAGAAGTTTAAACATCTGTGTTGATCCACTACTGGAGAAATTTCTCAAAGTTAAAATAACGAGACTAGATTACACACCAGTTTTGGGGGTTGACTTGGTTGTTTGCTAATTCAATTCATGGTACCAAAGTAAACTATTTAGAATAATATTATCAGTGCTGGCATTATAGTAAATGCTGTGGTAACTCAGGAATAAAACGTTAAAAATGCATTATGGTTATGGAAATAATAGAAATTCATACTTTTGGTGGTGCACAACAAATGGATAAAAACACAAAACCACATTCTTTACCAAATTAAGAACTATTATAAAGTAGAAAGTATATTTAGAATCCAGGATCACTGGTGCTTATAACTTTATAACAATAAAATTGCAATGCCTTACCCATAAAAATAAAAACTTCTTACTTTTGAATTTTATATACATGTACAAAGTAAATATTCCACTATATTTTTATGATGAGGCAGACATTGAAATCATAGCTTCATCATGGAAAAAAAAATGCTTTATTCTTCCTTCTCTTCAGTAACCAGGCTTTGGAAAACTTCCTTGCAAATGAATGTTTCTCATATAATAGCGAATGGATTTATAAGTGATTTATTTTAGTTGTATTACATGGAAAATTAGCTAAAAATTCTAAAATGATTATTCAACAAAAAACACCAAACATCAGCTTTTGGAGACTTTAGTAAATTGCAATAATTAGAAGATTATAAAGAGAAACCACTGAACAAAAGAGATCAAATTAATAAATAAAAGCTCGTGTCACACAAGACTGAATTTTTCATTTTACCTTTTAAATATTTTTGCCTTAAAATGACTCTTGGTAAATTTCTTGATTTAATTGTCCAAGTTTACGTTTTCACCAAATTAAAAATAAGTAGATTAGATGCCTAAAATTTTGCATCATATGTATTGGATAAAACCCATCATGAGTAGATATAATTTATGGTTTTGGTCTTATAAAATTCTTGCCAAAGGAAAATATAATATGCATTATACTAAGAGAAAAATATAATAGCCAAACAATAGTTCCTAGAAAAATATTTGGACTGAAATATCTTATGCATATCTTCTGTTGAACCAATTTGCTTGACATTTCAGAGACCATTACAAGGGTACTTCCCAAGTGAAAAAAAACATTATGACTTTCAAACTCACTTTGGTTGGTATTAATTTCAAATTTAGTAACCCTAGGCCAGTGAGATAGATCAGCAGGTAAAGTTGCTTACCGCTGCCTGATGGCCTGAGTTGCATCCCCAGAATCGTTATGGTGGAAGGAGAGAATCAGCTGCTGCAAGTTGTACTCTAACCTCCACATATGTGCCAAGGCACATGTACACACATACACACGGTCTTAGTTAGTATTCCCATTGCTGTGGAGAGGCAGCTTGACCATGGCAGCTCTTATGAAGGAAAACATTTCCTTAGGACTGGCTTACAACAGTTTAGTTCATTATCATCATGGTAGGAAGCCTGGCATCATGCAGATGGACACAGTGCTGAAGAAGGAGCTGAAGATTGAGTCAGGGTAGGAATAGAAGACAGAAGAGAGAGAGGGGGAGAGGGAGAGAACATAAAAGAGGGAGCCATTATTTGTTTGAAGAGAAAACTGAACCTAAACAAAGGTCTAGAGACCTACAAGACTGCCGCCAACTAACAATTTGAGCAACCGTGGAAAGGCCACACATAAATGCCCTTCCCCGATAGTGGGATCAACAACTAACTTATCCCCCATCATGGAGCCTCATCTAGTACCTGTTGGAAACAGAAGCAAACACCCATACCTAAACTGAGTCGAACTAGAATCAAGATGCAGAGGGAGAGGACAAGACCAGGTTGCAGAAACATAGAGACAGCTGACCTGAACAAGGAGGAGTTAATGGGCCCCCAGACTGATAGCTGGGAAGCCAGCAGGGGACTGACTCAGACCCCCCTGAATATGGGTCTCAGCCCGAAGGACTGAGCAGTCTAAGGGACCTCAGACAGTGGAACCAGGAGGTATCCCTGGTGCACAAAAGGACTTAGTGAACACATCCCCCATGGAGGGATAACTGCCTTAACCTAGAGACAGGAGAGAAGTCCAAGCCCCTACTTCAAATGACTTGACAGATTTACATGACCCCACCTGTATGGTATTGCCCTACATGTGGAATTGGGATGGGGGATGGGAGGGGAGGGTGATCAGGGTGCATGTGAGGGGGCAGAAAGGGTAAGAAGGAGGGAGGGAGGGAGGGAGGGAGGGAGGGAGGGAGGGAGAAGGAACTGTGATCAACATGTAAAATAAGAAAGGAAGGAAGGAAGGAAGGAAGAAAGAAAGAAAGGAAGAAAGAAGGAGCTGAGATTTCTGCATCTCGATCCATAGGCAGCAAAGGGAGACTGTGTACCATACTAGGTGTAGGTAAAGCATGTATTCTACCTCAGAGTCCACACCCCACAGGGACACACTTCCTCAATCAGGTCACACCTCCTAATAGTGCTGCTCCTTATGGACCACGCATCCGAACACATGAGTTGATGGGGGCCACACCTATTAAAACATTACACACACACAAATAAATTAAAAAATAGAATGCCGGGCTGGAGAGGCAGCTCAGCAGTTAAGGGCACTTGTTGCTCTTGCAGAGGACCTTGGTTCAGTTCATAGCACCAACATAACATCTCACAACCATCTGTAACTCTAGTTCCAGGGAATTAGATACTTTTCTTACCTCTTGTGGCTCCTGAAGGACATAGTGCACACCCAGGCTTATACTAAAAGATACATGCCTACATATAAAATAAACATAAAACTATAAATAAGACTTCTTTATTTTTAACTTAAATATGCTAATCCTACAAAGAAACATCAGAGAGGATTGTAAATAGATTATAAACATCATGTAGTTAATGTTGAATATTTGTTTTTCTCAAAATACCAATGATGTGATATACTAAGGTGATATATCAAGGTGATATTATAATGTCAGAATCAAAATACAGATCTCTTCACTTGATTTTACTTTGATGTATATATACCATCTAAAGTTTCAATATTAAATATAGTAGTAAAATCAAACTATTATTTATACATGGAAATAGTTATTTATCAATTTTGTGCATTCTCTTTTGAAAAGTAACCTATAAGTTATCCAGCCATTCAATTTTCATCATAATACCTTCTTTCTATAATTCTACACATAGATACAAAGATACGAAGGAAATTATTTTATTAGCTTTCTCATAATGCTTAGTCCAAACTGACACTTCAATGCCTTCCTCACACTCTAAGAAGAAATGTTTTCAGGGTTTCAGGCAAGTTGCATCTCCTCACTTCCCTTCTTAAGGTGGTACCCTGTTAACCTGACAGAAAAGAAGATGACCTCTGGCCCTCTTGCCAACCAGGAGATTCTTGGAGATGCTCCTTGCCAATTAGTTGCTAGGCACCCACGGGCTCATATTTATTTGTTGAGCTGGTGATAATTTGTTTGTCCTAGGTTAGCTTCTGCTACTCAGAGGAAGTGAGATGATGAAATCATCAGTTGCCAGAATGGCCAAAGCTAGTGAAGAGTTCAGTAGAACCTCCAGGCTAATTCATCCATCTCTCAACCATAGTTCCTGAAATGCCTGTCTTTAATTGGAATGTGATACTGTTTGCATACTGTGGATCTTACTGCATGTGCACACACACTCATACTCATGTCCCTGACAGGCCAGTGCTCTTTTGTGCCTACGTTCCTGTTAATAAACCACTGTTATACAACCAAACCTTAGTTTAGTGGTTCTCAACCTTCCTAATTCTTTACAATACAGTTCCTCATACTATGGCAACCCTCAAGCATAAGATGAGTTTGATGAGAGATGTCATTCGGTAAATATGTTTCTCATACTGGTTAATGAATAAAGCACTGTTGACCAATAAGAAAGCAAGATAGGCGGGACTAGGAGACAAGGGGGATTCCAGGAAGTAGTAGGGAGGAGTCAGCATGTAGAGACCCAGGAGAGCAGACACTAGCCTCACTCTCTGGTAAGATGAGACCATGTGGAAACACTTAGATTAATAGAAATGGGTTAATACTTAAGACAGAACTAGCCCAAAAGAAACAAGTAACTGGCCAACAGAATTATATCTAATACAAAGTCTCTGCGTTTTAATTGGGGCTGTCGTGACAGTGGGACCAGACTGGCAGGAAAACCTTACTCATAACATTAGTTTGTTGCTACTTCACAACTGTAATTCTGCTAACATTGTGAATCATAATGTAAATATTTGGTATGCAGGATATCTGATATTCCAACCTCAAAGGGGCTGTGACACACAGGTTGAGAACCACTCTTAAAGTAATATTTTCAGTGGAAAAAATAGAACAGAAGGAACAAATTAAAGATCTAAAAGAAAAGAAGTGTAAGGTAGAAGGTAACTATAAACATGATTACAAAACTCACCGTGCCTCTAGAGACTGTAGGCAGAGCTTCATGGTGTTCAGAACAAGGAACCTTTGTCAAAGACAAATGCCTCTTTCTTAAGAATAGCTTGAAGACAGAGGCATGGAGATAGCTTGTGTGACTTCCCCTGAGTGTTTTTAATGATGCAGTGAATATTCTTAAGAAGGAAGGTAAAAAGTGGATCTTGGCAACCAAAAAACAAAGAATATATTTTGAGATACAATGAGACAAACGTATTATTTCAAACCTCATACTATTTCAGATTGCCACATTTTTTTTTAACCAAAATCAATAGCAACTATGATTTTTTGTTTTAGTCCTTAAAAGCTCAGGTTATTTGTGTGCTTCTTAAAATTTCCCTACAACGTTTTTAGCAGCCCTTCATGCTAAACATTCCCTTCCTCCACTTGGTTGGAAATGACGTTTTCCTTTGTCTTATGCATATGTAGTCTACTTTAGAATTCAGTGTTACATGCATTTTCATTTTCACATTGATCCAACTTGGGCTGCTATATTTCAGTTGATTTCATAGGTGGACTAGAGGCGCATTCCCACTACCAGGATCATGTTGAGTTAAAGCCTGTTAAACCTGTAAGTAGAGGTGTGCAAAATATTAATCCATCTAACCTGGCTTAACTAACCAACCCTGGGGTACTTTGGACTTTCTGCTCCTCATTGTTTTAATTTTCACTCATATTAAAATAACCTTTCCCATGTAACCCAAATACCATTATTACTCATTCCAGAAAGGATTTGATGTAGATGATGTGACATGTACTTCTAAAATGGTGTTCTTGTCTAATTTTTCTTATCAGCTGTTGATTGATTCCATTTGGGAAAACGTGATTATTTATTCTACAGAAGTCGAGACTGAATGAGTGTCTGGGCTGCACAGCAGAGTAGAGTCCAGACTTACAGAATCCAGGTACCTTCCTCAACATGTCTGAGGCTTACATCATCTGTCCTATGACTTCATGGGAGAAGGATGGATCAGTGAAGGGAGTCATCTTTAGCAAGCACAGTTCATGTGAGCCGTCGTTGTGGGCTATTCCCCAGAGAAGACTGATCAGGCATGGGTTTAAGCTAAAATAAAGTCTCTTATCAATCAGCTGTTGACTACAGTGGTTGCTCAGGGTCCAGTGTAGCCTGGGCCTTTCTCGGGATTAGCGTTTAAGCACAAAAATCATGTTCTAGACCTTCACAGTAACTGATGGAAGCAGATGCAGAGATCCACAGCCAAGCACTGGGTGGAGCCTAAGGGTCCAGTTGAAGAGAGGGAGGGGGGATCATATGAGCAAAGGGTTCACAATCATGAGGGGGAAACCCATAGCAACAACTAACCTGAGTCAGCAGGAGCTCACTGACTCTGGACTGACAATAGGGGAACCTTCATAGGACCAAACTAGGCCCTCTGGATGTGGGTAACACTTCTGTGGCTTGGGCAGTCTGTGGAGCCACTGGCAGTGGGACCAGGATTTATCTCTAGTGCATGAACTGACTTTTTGAAGCCCATTCTCTATGGAGGGATGGATACCTTGTTCAACATGGATACAGGGGGGAGGGAGCTTGATCCTGCTTCAGCTTGGTATGCCAAACTTTGTTGACTCCCCAAGAAAGGTCTTACCCTTACTGAGGAGATGATGAGGGGTTGGGTGGGGGGAATATGAGGGGAGTGTGAGGAGGGAAGAGGAACTGTGGCTGGTATGTAAAATGAAAAAAAACAAAGCTTTTAAATTAATAAAAAAATTTAAATTAAAAAATCATGTTCTAGATTGACATACTTCAGTTAATAAGAACAGTTAACCAGAAGCAGAACTGCAGAAGCCAGAAGGCAAGGTTAGTTCACTTAGAGACCCTCCCATAGTTCCAGAACTATGGACTTTGATGGGTTAGGTCTTCTTTTTTAGTTTTGGCAGGTGTTGCTGTCTACCAGCTGAGCTTTACAGCCTGTATGGTACTTTAATCATGGAGTGAGTTGTGCTAAAGTCTGAGGGCCTGTTATAGTTGCTTATAATTTTTGTTTATACTGAGTGTTATTTACAATTTTAAAAAAACTCAGGAATAAATTTTCTACATTCCTCAAATACATGGAAAAAGTCAGCAACAAGTGCTCCCAAAGAACTCTTCCAATTTCAGATTCAGGAAGGAATCTTGGTCACTGGGCTGATAAAAATCTTAGAAAATAGGAAAGATGCTCAATAACTCCATTCTTAGGAAATTTTAAGTGGAAATAGACAAGCATACATGATAACAGATGCCATATGCTAACTATGTTGCCTGCACTGTCTCATGTAATTATTGTGAAAAGTATATGAATATATATTAAAATTAATATCCCCATCTTATGAGTAAGGAAACTGAAGCTCAACAAAGAATTAAGGAACTTTCTCAATATCTCATTATTAGTAGGTTGAAGATCTGGCCTCATCCCTGGGTAATGAGAGGTCACCTAGCCTGAGTGAATAGATGTATTCAGATGGAATTCCTGTATGTTCAGCCTAACCTTTCATAATTCCATGGTAACTGAGAATACATCCTGTGAAGCCATCTCTAGTATGCAGTCACATAGCAAAGGCTTTGATGCTGCCTTATTGGCACTTTGGTCCCTGTTCAGAGCTACACCACTCCTCTCCAGGATCTCTCAGGACTGAAGTCCCAAAGAGAATTAGTTAAAGCAAACAAAACTCACACACCATGCAAGTCAGCACTTTGCCCATCACTTGATAGACATTTAAATAAGTTTGGGGTTCTTAATGTAAATCCAAATGGAAAACGTCTGTCCTATGTAACATCCCAGGACCACCTATCATCTCAGTACATTTGCTTTTGGAATATCACAAATGAGGTGCTCCAAAAGTTGATGTTTGTGGGTTGGGGAGCTTGGCAGGGGTTGTGACAATTACCAGGATGTAAAGCAAACTGGAAATGAAAAGAGGGCTAAGACAATTCCTAGTGATGGCTGGGAAAGCCTTCATATGTTTGCTCTAAAAGGATGATTACTGCACTCTTTAATCTAACCATGAAAAAAAAAAAAACTCTACGGAGAAAATGTAGTGTGTAAAATGCTGCTGCATAAGAGAGTATATTAGAGAGGTTATTAAGAACTATAATTGATTAATGTTGATAATAGACTCTCCTTCCTCTGGGGACTTTAAAGAATAGGTTATTAAACACCTGTGCATCTCTCAAGGCACATGCAGCATGCCCCAGGGCAAGTGACTTCCTTTTATGTTCTCTGTGTCTCTGTGAATCAAGAACACATCCACTTGAGATCACCTACCCAGCTTTGATCAAGCACTCACTCTGTCTCCTCAAAGGGTTTTCTCACTGTCCCTACTCGCGTGGGCCTGCACCACTTGAGGGGGCTGTCAGCATAAACTACAGGCTGCAGAGAGCTGCACAAGGCTCTGCTTTGATACGTTATGCTTATCACCACGTCATGTGACTTAGGAGTGCCTTTCAACTCCAAAGTGGGTGGGAATCTGGAAGTTCAAACTAAGCTGAATTGAAATCATTGTGCAGAGAACAATTGAAAAAATCAGTATCTGTCCCTCCGATGCACAAGTGTTTCAGCATTGATCCAGGAAGCATCTGTCAGATGTTTGGTTTCCTTTACTAAGGCCCTTTATATTAGACTGAAATGCACCCAGCTAAGTGGTACCATAGTATGCGCACATGTGCTCTCTTGTACACGCGCACACACAAACCAGCTTGGAGAAAAATTACAGCTTTCTGTACTAGATTGGTCAAAAGGAGAGAGAATGCTAAGGTGATTTTAAACTTTGATTAAGCCTCTAATCTGCATGGAGTATAAAACCAGAGCTTTCATGAGCAAAAGCTCCTTTATTGAGGAAATACATAGAAACGTCAGCATATCTCCATAATCGTGTTCATGAACAGGTGCTTTCCTATTGAAGCGGGACTGATAAAAGCTGACAGTCCATTCATAGGTAGCATTCCATCCCCATGTGTCAGCATCAATTTGCTCATGGTCAAATTTTGTGAACATACTTAGCAGAGTCCAGTTGTGATGGGGTGATATAATAAACATAGAGCTGGCCTTTTGTTCTCTTTCTTTTTACAGTAATGATATCCAGCTGGTTAATAAGTTTAACTCAATTTATAATCACTAATTTATTAACCACAAAGTTGTGAGCCACCCATTTCCTGGGGAGCTGGAGATAAAATGATAACTAATCCAAGTATTAGCCTCAAAAGCTCATCACCCAGGAGAGGAGACCCCATAGGAAAAAAAAAATGAACACAAAATAATACCCCCAAGTTAATGTTTTGCCCAAAGAGAAATGGCTGTGTTTCATTTAGTGGAGAGGCTTCACTGAAACATGATAATGAGATGAGGACATGGTGTTCATATAAGGAATGAAGACCACCACATTGCAAGACAGTTTGGCAGTCTCTCACAAAGCTAAATGTGCTCCTTCCATGTTTAGCTGCACTTTTGGGTATATCCTCAAAAGGGCAGAAAAATTAGGTCCACGCAAAAAATGTTTATCAGCACTTTACTCAGAACGGCCCAAACTTGGAAGAAACCAAGATAGCCTATAACAAATGAATGGATAAATGAGCTGTAGCAATAAAGGCAACAAAATAGTATTCAATGGTCAAGAAAAATGACTATCAGTCATAGCGCAAATGCACATTACTGAGTGAGAAAAGGCTATATTGGAGCCTGAATATATGGCATTATAGAAAAAGCAAAAGCAGAAGGCGGTGCACATGTCAGGAGATGGAGAGAGGAGGAAAACGGAGACTGGAGATGGTTTTGGTGGCAGAAATTGTTCGGAATGGTACTACATTGCTAGATACATTTTTCCAAACTCACAAAATACACCTCAGTGTGAGGTATGGGTTAGGGTACAGTGATGTCTTAGTGTAAATTCAGCAATCATAACCAACACAGCCATTTTCTCAGGCCAGTAGACAACAACAAAGGCAGCGTATGAATATGGAAAAATCTCTGTACCTTCCTCTCTATTTTGTCATCAACGTAGAAGAAAAGAAGAGGATGAGGAGAAAAGGGAAGGGGAAGAAAAAAGAGGAGGTGGTGGGAGAATGTCCCTCATATGGAAGCTGATTTGATTGTCCATAAATCTCTAGAGCAGGGTTTTACTAAACATTCTTGACTCCCAACCCTTTTTCACTCAAGAAAAAATTTATATGACACCACAGCCTATAGATACATAAGATGGATATATAAATTAAACACTTACTGATAATAAATTACAAACAATTTTTGACATATATCATTTACCATTAAAGACAGAAACAAATTTGTTTAGTACTGATATGGACATTTTGTTCATTTTTACATTAATATTTAAATTTTGGCTGAATATCTGAGTGAACAGGATGTAGGGAATCTTCACTGGTTTTCAGAGTTTTTTGGTATTTTGATCTTATACTCCATTCCTGCTGAGAACATGATTTTGAATAAGTACATAATAAAAATAGTAGAAGTATGTTAAGGAACATTTCATAAATTGCTGGGAATTCTGTCCTAATCCAAAAGCATTAAACTCATTTAATGATCTTTTACAAAATGCAAAAATGAAATTCAAACAGCAATTTTT